CGTGGAATGGCAACCAGGACGTGCAGCGCTTGCACGGCATCTGTCACGAGCGAGGAGGGGCATTTTGTAAAACGGCAGTTAAGAGCTTTTTTTTGCGAAGCTCCCTACGGGGTGCTACGGTTTGCGTGGTATGCAGAGGCATCCCCACGGTCTTGGTTGCGCCCCCGCCGGCACCAAGCTTCCCAGAGCAGGCGCCGCGCGTCACATGACACATTGAGAAAGGGAGAGAGGGAGAGAGGGAGAGGAGGGAGAGGAGGGAGAGGAGGGAGAGGAGGGAGAGGAGGGAGAGGAGGGAGAGGAGGGAGAGGAGGGAGAGGAGGGAGAGGAGGGAGAGGAGGGAGAGGAGGGAGAGGAGGGAGAGGAGGGAGAGGAGGGAGAGGAGGGAGAGGAGGGAGAGGAGAGGAGGGAGAGGAGGGAGAGGAGGGAGAGGAGGGAGAGGAGGGAGAGGAGGGAGAGGAGGGAGAGGAGGGAGAGGAGGGAGAGGAGGGAGAGGAGGGAGAGGAGGGAGAGGAGGGAGAGGAGGGAGAGGAGGGAGAGGAGGGAGAGGAGGGAGAGAAGGGAGAGGAGGGAGAGGAGGGAGAGGAGGGAGAGGAGGGAGAGGAGGGAGAGGAGGGAGAGGAGGGAGAGGAGGGAGAGGAGGGAGAGGAGGGAGAGGAGGGAGAGGAGGGAGAGGAGGGAGAGGAGGGAGAGGAGGGAGAGGAGGGAGAGGAGGGAGAGGAGGGAGAGGAGGGAGAGGAGGGAGAGGAGGGAGAGGAGGGAGAGGAGGGAGAGGAGGGAGAGGAGGGAGAGGAGGGAGAGGAGGGAGAGGAGGGAGAGGAGGGAGAGGAGGGAGAGGAGGGAGAGGAGGGAGAGGAGGGAGAGGAGGGAGAGGAGGGAGAAGAGGGAGAAGAGGGAGAAAAGGGAGAGAGAGAGATGGAGAGAAGGAGAGAGGGAGAGAGGGAGAGATGGAGAGAGGGAGAGGAAGGAGAGGAAGGAGAAGAAGGAGAAGAAGGAGAAGAAGGAGAAGAAGGAGAAGAAGGAGAAGAAGGAGAAGGAGAAGAAGGAGAAGGAGAAGAAGAGGAGCAGGAGAAATAGAGAGAGAAAGAGATAGATAGAAAGAGAAAGCGAGAGAAAGTGTGAGAGAAAGAGACATCGTGGAAGCCGGGCGCGCCCGGTGCGCGATGGTCAGGGTCACCTTCCGTGGCCTTCATGTGAGAAGAAAGAGAAGAAGAATAATAATAATAAGAAGAAGCAGAAGAAGAATAATAATAAGAAGAAGAATAAGAGGAATAATAATAAGAAGAAGAGAGCAGCGCGTGCATAGCTTCTGAAGCGCACTCTTGCGTCTTGCTTCCAGCCACGCTGTTTTCGAGCAGCCGAGTGCAAGTGTCGCCTCTGATTGATTGGAAAGACTGGTAGAGGAGCTGCAGCGCCAGCAACTGGTCGGAGAGCTGCCTGGCTCTGTTGCTAAACCTGGTGCTGTCACGGAGTTGAAGATGTCAGCATCCTTGCTGTGGCGCATTTGGCCGAGACAAGTTCATTTTTAACGTGGCTTTTGAGACAAAAGGCTTCGGTGCTTCTGTTCTCACTCCAGACATGTCCGAGAATTCGTTGACCCAGCAGCGTGCCGGCTGCACTTGGCTTTGCTTCGCAGTTCTTTGCTTTTTCTGATGGCCCTGAACCCTCGGAATGCGGACGGCTGCTAAGGAGATTCTGCCATGCGTGCCCCGGGGAATCCCGGGGACTTTGCGATATGACAGCATGCAAGCATTGGTGGCAACTCAGCTTCTTTTGGTAGCTTCTTTGTCTGCTTGACGGAGGTACCTGGGCACTACTGGGATTTCGATGGCCTGCACTTCGCCCCTGCGGGCTCCCAGGCATGGGGGTCGATTATAAGCTCGGTCGGGCATTTTTTCTAGGCCAAAGATCCTCCTACAGGAAGCATGGCCACATCAGTGAAGGAATTTTAAGCCCCACTGGTTGTGTTGACACATGATCTCCCATCTGCTATGGAATGCTATGGATTACCAGCTCAGGTCTTCGTGAGCCTTTCTTTGCTGTAAGGCTTCTCACAAGGTGGCTGCTTGCCCATTCTCTGCCTGAGCCCCACGATGCTCTGCTTACACGTCCAAATGCTGTTGCAACAATTCGGCCGATCAGCCGATGAGCAGCAAGACCCACCACAAGTAAAAGTTTTCGGGGCCCGCACGTTGAGCCACTGCAAGAAGTTGCGCACGCGCACGGCCTTTCTTGGGTGCCACGGTCTTTAGCCTCATGGCCCCCCGGTGGCTCGATCGTTGGGGCGGCCCTTGCTTCCTGACTCCTTTCATCTTGGGCTGGAGGACCTCTTGCCTCGCCTCCTCCGGTATGTCCGGTGTCTTTCGCCCCCCCCGCGAGCCGGCTCAAGCCCGGATGCAAGAAGACAGAGGTTCCCTGAGTGTCCGACTAACGTCTAAAACCATGTCATCGCAGTGGCAGACCTTCAGTTCAGCGGAAGTTGCCGATAGCCATAGTTGGCGTCGAAGCCCGACGACAATTCCGCCCCTTGATGTTGTCAATTGTTTCATCAATCCAGGGAAGCATTCCTCGCTCCAGGTCCGCCCCTTGGTTGAGCGGTCGACAGTCCTACACCACTCTTGGATGTGTAGGGTCGTTAGCCTTCGGCACTCCCAGAATATGGGAAATGAGACCAGCAGGACTCAACACTCCTGCCGGTTCCATTGCCCCCCAAAGCCTCCCCTTCCCCCAGCAGGTACCGCAGTGGCATCGCCTGTAAGGTAGACGAGTAGACTTTGGGTTTCGGTGGTCGGTTTTTTTGGGTTCACATCTTCAAATCATCGCAGGCTCTGGGGCTTGCGCTCGCCAGCTTGGTGCTGCAGCTTGGAGAGGTCCGCCCAGCCTTTGCCCTGTCCATTGCAGGCAGAGACATGTGACAAGTGGGAACGTTTTACAGTCACAGCGAAGGGGCAGCTAATTGGTTGTTTTGAGCCCGTGAGTTGCCAGGCGTGGTGTCCATGAAGAGCCTGGCAGCATCTTTCAAGGCGGCAGGCCTGCATTACCCATCCTTAGAATCCTTAGCCATCATTCGCCTAGATGTCTGCTTGTAGAGGGGACGGCATGGAAGTTCTGCTGAAAGACCCAGGAGGGTGTCAAACTGTTTTCCATAAAGCTTTGTCTTCGAGCGCTGAGCTCTCAAGGTGAACGAGGATGAGGCAATCCGGCACCATGCGCGCAATATGTGAATTAGCTGAACCCTTATGGGTTCGAATGCGTTTGCAAACAGGCTGTTGAACGGCCGTCGCGCCAGTTCGCCAGCTGCAGGATGGAAATACTTGGCAATAAATCCGGAGTAAGCAGCACAACGTGTTTTGCGACTCCTCATGAACAGAAGAGTGCGAATTTCCATCCTGGCACTCAGTTCCTGGTGATCTTGTAAATAGCTTCAAAAAGTCATGTGAAGGCAGCGGGCCGCAGATGGCTCACCGAACTAGCGAGGGCGTTCTCTTGTTCTCTCGCATGGGTCACGTTGGGATGCGCATCCCTCAAAAGAGTCATTTTTTGTGACTCCCCCGCGGCGCTGGGCTTGGCAGCTTCGGCGCACAAGTCTACAATCTACATTTTGCTGATCTGAGGTGCTCCCCCATGCTTCGCCAGCAGTGCGGATAAGCGCCGTGTGCAGCTTGAAGCTCCGGCCATCATGAATGAAGAAGAAATGCTGTTGGGAGAGCTTGTTCAGAATGCTTTGCGCAGACCTTGCAGCCACACACGCCCATGGGAGGCGTGATTTTTCAAGTCGCTAGGTGCACTGGTTCCAACACTCACAACTGTCGCTTACCTGTTTAGAGTTTAGAAGTTGTGCATCTTGTGTAACAAACCGCGGACAATCACAAGCACCAATCCAGCTGAGCCCATTCCGCTCAGCCTGCAGCAGACTCAATTCATGTCAATTGCCAGAGCCGACAAGTGCTTAGCCGTCAGATGCAGGCCGCTGCCTCGCCGTCACTGCTGTCACTGCTGTCACTGCTGTGGCTGCACTTCCCACGGTCGTCCTTTACTAGTAGCCTCTCTTATCCACGTGCGCAATTTCCAGCGGGCAGCCGACTGCTTGTGTTCCAGACTGATCTCAAGTAGGTGCGCTCGAGCCGCGACCCCAGGCTACATAGGCTGGGGAGGCAGGCCGTGGACAGAAATTCGTGGAGAGCTGTACAGTGTGCGGGGACCTATTTGACGGATTTAATCATGGGGCTCCGCTCCCAATACCTGGTCTTGAGATGGGCATCTGTGACCGCATTGCGGTCGAAGGTGCACCAGTGTGGTGCCCCCTTTGAGCTCGCTATGTGGCACAGTTGCCCATGGTGCGACACGACGTGACCTTGTCAAGCTGCAGATGTTCTTTCGCGTCATGAAACTGCCCGGAGTTTGCATGCTTGTGCTCGTAGCCTTTCCGAATTATGTGTTCGGAGGCTCACTTGATGTGCTTCCTTTGTTTCTCTTGCGAAAGGTTGTGTGCTGTCAGACATGCCAGAACTCCAGTTCAAGCTTTCTGTAGGACATGCCCTGCGGATTGATTGTGATGACTTTGCTGACCCGCATCTCTGTGCTCGTGATGCAGGCTGGCGATGGCCCATTTGCGGTCGTGACTGATGCGGCTTTAGAGCAGCTGTAAGTTAAGTAGATGCAGGGTTTTTGACTGACATATTGTCCTTCGAACTTTACAGAAGGTCGCAAAAAAGAAAGGAGCTGCCTCGTCTGTGGCCGAACTGAGCTTTGCAGATCTTTGCAGTGCCGTGGACTTTATGTGTAGCGTTCAGACATGCCGAGCAGACTCGCGACAAGTGCGCTGGCGCCGCCAGAAGGAACAAAGGATGCTGATGGTATGAGCAGATCTCAAAATTATGGGGTCAAGCAGACCCCGGGACCTTCTGGAAACGGCTGAGAGAGTGATAGGAGAGACAGACGCCGTGTGTTTCCCATTTGACTTCAGCACGCCCATCAAGTTCAGAGCTAGTTACGATTTCGAGGTGCAGAGCTGCCGCAGAGTCCTGCAGGGCGCACGTCTCAGCTGAGAAAGGCAAAATCAGGTGCTGGGCTAGTTCGCTTCAACGTTTGCATCCACAGAGCCGAGGAAGTCAGGTTCGAAGACCACACCCCAGGCTGGACACAATTTGTGCAGTCGAGGGGAAAGCCCCAGTGCCATTAGCGTGCTGACGCAGCTTAGGAACTTAGGATCGCACTCTCTTGCCTCGGCCACTCGAACCAACAGACAGTACAGCATGCATCAGCCGTTGTTGCAGGTTCAGAAGCTTTTGGAGCTGGAGAAGGAAGCCTCGCAGGCAGTCTTCACTGGGGGTACACTTGCGGGAATACAGCCTAACAGTTCATAAGATGAGCTGCGGTGAGCTCCTTCTGATGGAGCCGTCTTAAATACGTAGTTGCACAAGCATCCCTACAAACAAATACGCATACAGATATGTAAACGTATGCGCGCACGCAGACATGCATACACACATAAATACATGTATATGTAGATCGAGAGTGCTTCCCTGCACCGGAATTGAAGGATAGCTACAGAGAAGCTCGCGTGCGAACCACGTTGCTTCCCGCCTTAGAAGAGCCGCTCTTCCTTTCCTCGGCTGTTCAACACGGAGTACAACCAGTTGAATAACGTCAAGGAGTGTGTGTGCTTCGTAACTTACCCATGTACAGATATATGCATGTATGTGCATATATATATATATGTATATATATATGTATGTATGTATGTATGTATGTATGTATGTATGTATGTATGTATGTATATACATACAAATACGTCCTCCTCTATCTGCTTTAGGCCTTTCGAATCCCTCAGGTCCTGCTACCTGGCCAGCCTGATGATGAGGCAGCTTGCGCTGGAGCAGGCCAGACCCTATCTCAGTTATGATACCTGCCTGACCAGGCTCGGGCAGAAATGCAGCGTGCGGAAGCAAGACAGGCAGAAGAGGCCCGGCTTGCGGCAGAAGCGCGCTCGGCTGAGGAGGCGCGGCTCGCTGAGGAAGCGAGACTGGCTGAAGAGGCCAGGCTTGCGAAGGAAGCCAAGCTTGCAGAAGCACAGAGTGTAGAGGAAAGGCGGATTGCAGAAGAGGCAAGGCGCGCGGAGGAGGCGCGACTGGCAGAGGAGGCCCGCATTGCGGAAGAGGCAAGGATTGCCGAAGAAGCAAGGCTAGCAGAGGAGGCCCGCATTGCGGAAGAAGCAAGGCTTGCTGAAGAAGCGCGACTGGCAGAAGAGGCTGCATCCTTGGTAGTCATTCATATCGGCCATTTTCAGAGTACTTCTCCAGGATCCTCCAGGACCATCTTACACGGTACCATGGGAACCAGTGTAAAACCCCATCGTATACCCTGTGGCCTTTCTGTGGGTGTCCCGGACTATCGGTGTGTTGCACATGACGGCGCTAGGGCGTTTTTGGAGCACAGGGTCTTCTCCCAAACGTGGGTGTCTCTGTTACCCAGTTTTAGCTGTGGATGGTTTTGCAAATTTTCTCCCGTGAGAGCACCTTGGGATGGTGTTGCATCCTACAAGGCTCGGCGTGCAGAGTTCGAGGCCAAGTTGCGTGCGGAGATGGAGGCCGTTCGGATGGTGTGTTGTGAGAAGCATTGAGATAGGCAATCAGGCAAAAGGTCAGCTAAAATACGCAGGAATGCGGCAAGACTGCGGACGGGTAGGTACTGCAGGTGACGCTGCCGGTGTGTTTAGGGTGTAGCCTCCCCTGCTTGCAAAGGCCAAAGAGAAGCAGGTGAACCAGCGTGTTGATCCAGATGGCTGCATCACTTGGGAGGCCTTTTCTCACCATCTCCGTATGTATTTGGCCAACTTTAACGTGCATGCTCTGGAGAATCTGTCCTCGACACAACATGGGGGATGCAGCCACTCTCGCAGCCAAGCTTTGTACACATGAGTCGTAAAATCCAGAGTTCTTTTATTGCGCAACAGGTTGACCTCATGAAGAACGAGGGTGAGGCATTTGGCTTCAGCCATAGCAACGCCAAGGCGACGGCTTGGTGTGTGCCCTCCACTGAAAGGCAAAATTGTTTGTTAGCGTCATTTTTTTTGATTGCGTTGGTTTCCTTGCTTTGTGTGCCCATTGCGAGCTGTGTTCAAACGTGTGGCTGTTGGCTCAGCTGGGGCACTCGGTTGCTGCGCCCGCATCATGACATGGATGCGAAGTCCTTGGCAGACTTCCTGTCTTCGTTAGATGGCGATTCCGCCGTGCACCTTATTTTAGAGGTGCTGAAACTGCGACCCGCTCTGAGCCCAGCGGTTGTAAGTTTCGCTTGCCCCGCACTTACCTATGCCCCAGCGCGGGGCATGATGGAGCGGCGCTGTCGGGGTGTGGTGAAGCATGTGGACCGCTCCCAGGGGTTCGGCTACATCGCGAGCCCCGAAATCGAGGCCACGTTTGGGATGGATGTCGTTGTGCGGCCAGCCCAGCTCAGGGCCTTTCAGACCGGTGAGGAGGTAAGCTTCACTTGTGTGTTGAACGAGGAGAACAAGCCGCAAGCCTATGAAGTGCTCACCGCATCGGGGATGCCACATCCGGGAGTGGCTCCACCCGAATGGGCCGACTGGAATGATTGGGATGTCAGCGACCCCAAGAAGCGCAGACTCCAGTGATGCCTTGCCGATTCCTTAGCCGATGCCTTGATGGCCTATAGCCGATGGCTTGGCCGTAGCACCTCAGTGAGCCTTAGAGCGAGGCAGGGTCGTTCTCGCAGCCGCTGAATGATATCGAATGTATGCCTCCGTGAGCTATGTCAGAAGGTTGAGTTGCACCAACAAAGATGCTGCTCCGTGTTTTGCCAAAGACTTTGCGATTCATGGGCGTTCCGCAGGGTGCGTGGATGTAAGACTGGCCATGCCTGAGCACAGCCTGAGCAGGTGGAGTTTAGTCGCGCCCGTGGCTTGCCCGCATCGGAGGAAGTGGGGTGGAGCCCTCAAGCTTCGTTGCTGCAAGTCTGCTGATAGCATGAACAAGTTGTCTCGTGGCAAGCCACTTGTGAACCACAAGCGTCTTCGTGGCTTGTGGGAATCCTCAGCATTTTGGGCCCGAGTCTCCGAGTCCGCTCTTGCCGCCTCGCCTGATTCGCCTGCGACACCGCAGCTGCTGCAAGGGTGTAGGCCAGTGGGGGATAGTGGGGGGGGGGGAGAATGCAAATGTTTCATGTTCTCCAATGCTGTACGCTGCAGATTCCAAGCTTCATGGAAACAGGACGCCATCGCGCCGTCACGAGGCGATGAGCCGAGCAGTGCTGCAGCTCTTCGAGGAGTACCAGAAGGTGTCGGTTGAGCAAATCCAACAATCCGCAATCGGTGTTACGGGCGTGGTAGGCAGCGTGCGCCTTGGACATGCGGGCGTGGGTGGGACAAAGTGTGTTTCTAGGCGTGAAAACATGCGCTGTTTTTTAGCCAGGCACGTGTCACCTTCGTGCAGACCGTCGCCGATCTTGCGACCAGGCGCCGATGTAGACTACGACTTCCGCTTTGGGGGTTGGGTGCCCCTGGTTTGGAGCTGTCTTCATGCGAGGCCGCAGAATATCGATGCTTTGATGAATGCGGGGGTGATGGCACTTCTCAGGTGGGGGCTCCCGCCACAGCCGCCCTTCTTGCCTCATCGACTCTGTTTTTGTTGGCTCTAAGCCAGGCCACTGCTCCTCGACTCGGTGGCCTCGCAGCTCGGATCTGCTGTGGGGTCTGCTGTGGGGTCTGCTTGTTGTGCTTTCCGTGCTGCCTTGGCCCCCTGAGGATCCAGCAGTCTGCAGCCCTGGCCTTGGGTCGTATGGCGAACTACTCGGAGCAGCTCGCCGAGTCGGTGGGCAGGGTTGGATCTTTGCCCTCATTGGAGAAAGGGGAAGCAGTCACAGCTTCTGTGACTGCCGACTGCTGCAGGTGGTCACTCATGAGATCTTGCCGCAGCTGGTCTATTCCCTGGCGCAGCAGAACCGTCGCGTGGAGTGGATTTGAACCCCAATTGCCAATTGAGATGCAATGGGGCCTGGAGCTAGAGAAATTTCGTTGCTTCGCGCCAGCTTAAGATTTAGCGACTCTAGCGAGCAAGTTGATGTGGATGTGCTTGTGCCACCTTCGCCGGCAGTGGTGAGCAGGTTTCTACAAGAAGGCTGCTGCTTTTGTACTGCGGGCAGTCGCCAAGCACTCTCCGCCTTTAGCGCAGGCGCGGAAGCATGAGCATTCCATGGGCCTTCTTAGAAAGATCTTTGCAGCATGATACAGCATGATTTCCTCAGGCTGTTATCGACTCTGGTGCGCTTGAAGCCTTGGTCATGTGCTTGGAGGAGAGGCTTCCATGTGCAATCCGAGCAATCACAACATGGTTCAAAGGTTTCCCCGCAGAGGGCGAGACAGAGCTAGGTAGCGAGAGAGAGAGAGAGAGTGCCCTTCGGGCGGTCCAGCGTTAAGTGCGCAGGAAGAGAGAAAGTTGCAAACCAAGCCAAACCCAACCCGCTGAAGATGCTGGCTCTTCTACAGGGGGGAATTTCACGAGAACCCCAAACAGGGGCCTGCCCCCTAGGCCCCTCAAAAAAAGAGAGAGAGACAAGGAGTTTGACCCCACAGTCAAAGAAGCTGCAGCTTGGGCGTTGGGCTACATCGCCAGGAGCTAAGTCTTGATCCGAGAATCCGAGAACTTGACCAGCCTGAGCAGCCCTCAACCCTAAACCCTAAACCCTAAACCCTAAACCCTAAACCCTAAACCCTAAACCCTAAACCCTAAACCCTAAACCCTAAACCCTAAACCCTAAACCCTAAACCCCTTAAAAAAAAAAAAAAAAAAAAAAACAACCATGTTTTCTCAGGCTCGGCATGGCAAAGACTTGGCACAAAGTGTCGTGGATGCTGGCGCCGTGCCGCTGCTCGTGCTTGGCTTCCAGGACACTCAGATTGCAAGGGCTGCATATGGCTACAGATGTTCAACAGATGTTCAACAGCTCAAAGACGGGCACATGCCCCGCAAGGAGCCAGAGCTGACCCTGAAGCGCATAACTGCTTCAGCTCCTCGGATCTGCGTGGCATTCCCCCCGAGCAGCTTTGATAGTTGGCCCTGGTGATGGTGATCAAAGGCGCTCAGTGACATCTCGAAGCACAGCCCCGAGCTTGCGCAACTGGTTGTCGACGCCGGTGCTGTGACTCTACTGACCAAGGCTTGGCAGCTCGAGAGCTTGATCTTGTGCAACGTAGTGAATGTACAATGTAGCAGGTCAGGGACACAGGTCTGCGCTTCATGCCAACCTGTATACGTGCACTATATGACTATATGCATTCCCCAGCCGCCAGTCTGTATTGCCCGCGCCCAGCGGTACAGGTAAAGCCTAATCAAGCGTTGCTTACCAGTAGTCTTCGGTAGAGGCGAGAGGGCGGCGGGGTGGGCGGGGGGGCAGACGCGGCAGACGCGGCCTGTTGGCACAGGAACTGACAAACAGCGATGCTGCTCTGAAGCGGCAAGTCTGCTCATGCTTGTCGCAGATAGCAAAGCACTCGGAACCTCGGCCTTGGTTGATGTTGGGAGCACCTTGAGCTGCCCTGGGGGGCAGTGTTGCGGAACCTGATACTGGCTCCACGAGGTTGACCTAGCCGAAGTGGTGGTCGAGTCTGAGATCTTCCCGACGATTCTGCACTGCTTGAAGGACGTTGATGAGCTGCTGGCTTCAAAATTGCTGTCGGGATGATACCTTACAAGCCCCACACCCGCAGCGGATTCAGGGCAGGGAACCTGTAAGGGTGTAAGTTGCGAAAGCTTTATCAAGCGCGGTTCGGGGAGGAGGCGAGCCTCCCTTCCTCCAGCCTCGACAAGGTACCCATATGCTTCCCAAACGTTCCCGGGCTGTAGCAGCATTAGCACCCAGGTCTGTGCGCAAGAACGCTGCCACGTGCATTCGCAACTTGGAGTAAGAATTTAATTGACATTGTTGCGATCGGGCGATCCGTGATACCATGTGCCGCGCGGGGCTGTGTCAAAAAGGGTGGTGAAGGAATCAAGTTTCCCGTGCCCGACCAAGCTACACATCCGTTTCCTCTTGCCATGAGGCGGGATGTCAGTGTACAGACACATCACATTTTGCCAAGCAACAAGAAAACACGTAGACAGCACCACCCACACGTTTACAAAACGGCAGACCGGTCGCTTGTGCCCTTTAGGCTGGTCAGTTGTGCCCGCCTTACGCGGGTCACTTGTGCCCGCGTACGTGCCTCAAATCACAGCAGGGCCGCACTTTGGGCCACCTCCCGCCAAAACGCAGACCTGTCACTTGTGCCCACCTTTCGGTCTTAAAATATGGCAGGGCCACATGAGGTGTTTGTCGGTTGAAAAGTCGCGTCCCTGCCACATCCGGCAGGCTCTCTGCCCCTGCCACCTGTCACCCCATTCAAGTGGACGCAGTTTTCTCAGGTTGCCCGTTTCATTTTCCCGACAGGGGTGGGCTGGCTCCAACATCATGAGCATCGCTATCAAAACATGTACTCATCAATGTCACCCTATATTACATGAGACCCCCAGAGACCTAGCTTGGAAGCCTGAATCGAGACCAACTTATGTAAACACCCAGCCCCCCCTTTCCCCCTTCCCCCTCCACCCCCTCCCAAGCACTCCGGCTGACCGTGCAGGGCGCATCGGGCAACAACAGTCGTTTTTTTGCCCCTCCAAACCCGAACCCTGGACCCAGAAACAACTGACCTGAGGCCTTGCGTGGAAGGCCCCCTTGGGTCAGATGTCTGTAGACGCCCAGCCCGCCCAAGCCCCCCCTCCCCCCCTTCCCCCTCCACCCCCTCCCAAGCACTGCGGCTGACCGTGCAGGGCGCATTGGTCAACAACAGTCGTTTTTTTGCCCCTCGAAACCCGAACCCTGAACCCAGAAGGAACTGACCCGATGCCTTGTGTGGAAAGCTTCCCTCGGGTCAGATGCCTGTAAACACCCAGCCCCCCCCTTCCCCCTTCCCCCTCCACCCCCTCCCAAGCACTCCGGCTGACCGTGCAGGGCGCATCGGGCAACAACAGTCGTTTTTTTGCCCCTCCAAACCCGAACCCTGGACCCAGAAACAACTGACCTGAGGCCTTGCGTGGAAGGCTCCCCTTGGGTCAGATGTCTGTAGACGCCCAGCCCGCCCAAGCCCCCCCTCGCCCCCTTCCCCCTCCACCCCCTCCCAAGCACTGCGGCTGACCGTGCAGGGCTCCCCCTGCGGCTGACCGTGCAGGGCGCGTTGGTCAACAACAGTCGTTTTTGCCCCTCGAAACCCCCCCCCATCCCCCCTCCCCTCACCCGTTTCCAGGGCGGGTGACTGGGTGTGGTGTGTGGCGTCAAACAAGCTTATTCTTATCCCCCCCCCCTTCCCCCCCCCCCGTTGCAGGGCGGGTGACTGGATGCGGTTGTGTTGAGCGCGTCAAACAAGCTTATTCTTGTCCCCCCCCTCCACCCCCCTCCCCCCTCCCTCACCCGTTAGGACTGGATGTGGTTGACTGGATGTGGTTGTGTTGCCCCCCCTCCCCCCTCCCCTCACCCGTTTCCAGGGCGGGTGACTGGGTGTGGTGTGTGGCGTCAAACAAGCTTATTCTTATCCCCCCCCCCGCCCCCCTCCCCCCCCCCCCCCCCCCCCCTCCCCCCCCCCCCCTCCCCCCCCCCCCCCCCTTCCCCCTCCTCCCCCCCCCCCCCCTCCCCCCCCCCCCCCCCCCCCCCCCGTTGCAGGCGGGTGACTGATCGTTGTGTAGCGCGTCAAATAAAGCTTATTCGTTGTCCCCCCGCCCTCCCCTCCCCCCCCTCCCCCCTCCCTCACCCGTTAGGACGGATGTGCCCCGTTTTCCAGGCGGGTGACTGGGTGGTGGTGTGTGCATGAAACAGGTTATTTCCTTCCCCCCCCCCCCCTCCCCCCCCCCCCCTCCCCCCGTTGCAGGGCGGGTGACTGGATGCGGTTGTGTTGAGCG